GGGATGGCGCAGCCACAGCTTCTCTGGGAAAGTTCTTCCTAATATCTAATTTAAATCTTCCGGTTTTCATTTTAAAGCCATTTCCACTTGTCCTCATGAGTTTTGGCACTGGCTAAAAAACAAGCAAAAAGACAAGGGAAGGGAAGCTGGGGCAGGAAATGAAGCCTGGGACAGCTCCAGATAGGAAGGTACAAAGAAGCTATATACAAGATTTCACTCTTTGGAGGGGGAAGAAACACACAGAATGCTCTTGACTGAAAAAACACCCGAAAACAAATCTCACTCTTTTTTTCCCCTCTATCCTCCAATACCCCAGTACCCATCCACTCCACAGCATGTGTTACATGTGTATCATTTCCTTGTGAGTTGTGAGGCATTTGCCTGATGAGCACGGTACGTAAGGAGCTAATGCTTCTCATTTCAGAGTATGGTTCAAACTGGGGTCTCATAGCAAACAGTAAGAGAGGTATGCAGTACCAGCAAAATGTCGCAGGCATAGAGCAAGGCAGGAGTCTAACACAGAATAAAATGTGGACAGCCCTTCCAACCCAAACTATTCTGTGATGTGAACAACATCTTGTTGAGGACTGTGGTTAGCATGCACATACTAAGTGTTGCTGGACAGTTTTTCTTACTTTTTTCAGCTGCTTTAACAGTCCGAACATGCAGCCATCACGGTAGAGCACACTGTTCAGCTTCAAGAATTACAGGGAAACAGCTCTGATAATTTCGGTGCCTTTGTACCAGCGGGGTTGGAACCTTTCAGTCCTCCACTTCAGCTGGTGAACTCACTGACAGTACAGCAGCAGCAGGAGAGAAAAATCATTCTTGATGCTGGGAATCGCCGTTATCTTTGGGGGCTTTTGAAGGAACTGTATACTTTCTATGGTCCAACTCTTCTACTCGAAGTCCTGTGGGTTTTTTTCTTTCCCAGCTGTTCTCCTGCCTTTAGTATTTTGGGAAATGTTTATGCCAAGGATCTGTGTTACTCTGTCCTACATGTTCTAAGATAACTGTTTTCTCCATCCAAATGTTTCTTGCCCCTGCCTATTACTGTCATAAAATCTTTTCTGTGCAGTGCTTTCACCCCTGTTTTTAAGTGGATATTACTAGAGTTTGCTGGACAGATTATCACAGCAGACATAATAAGAACAGGAGTAGCCTTGTCTGGATTTGACCAGCTGCTGGTAGACTGAAGTGCTCTGTGCTCATCCTTTGGCAGAGAGCAGGCTCAAGCAACCTCTGTAAGAAGGAATTTTAGGGTAACTTTAAAGCTCTGGCAAATTTTTACCATGTGTAAGTAAACTGGCCCTTTCGGGGTGCATGATATAACCAAATGTGAGTGAATTTCATGATTGGTAAAAAGCATGTCCCTGTCAAATTTGAGATCAAACTTCAAAAATGATCTGTATTTTCATTGTAGAAAATCTTATTTTTACTTTTCCTTCCAACCAGGTAAGCATTTCTGTTTGAAAAACCTAGCTAGGTGCAGACATCCAGGGAGAGACATCTAGAAATCCAGACACCCTTTGTTTTTCTCTCTCTTTGTATCTTGTTTTGGATAAAAAGCACATTTTTGGAAGGACTATGAAGATACTGCTTGCCAACTGAGTATTTTTAAAACTTCCTGTTTGCAGAGCAGCTACTGTTCAGATCTGTTGTTATTTCAGTTGTACTGTTAATGTTACAATTTTAATAACTTGATACCTAAATAAACTGATGTGAGTTTAAATAATGCTATGTGAACTAAAGTGCAGATACTCAGACAGTAAAATATTTCAGTGGTTTCTGTACACATATAAAAGGGACATACCTTTAGCTATAAGTCTCTTAAGTCCTTCAGCATGCTTTATCTTAAAAGCAAAAAGTGTGGATCAAGGATTAAGTGTAAAACATCTAGCCCAGGAGTCATCAGAATGCGAGTTATGAATACCTAACCTACTCATTGGTCTTTCTGTAGAGGTGGGATATGTAGCCTACAGAAGAACATGCTGTAGACCAACAATAATCAAGCCCTGAAAAAACCTTGAGACAATCACGTGAAGTTTGGAGTCACTTGTAGGTGTTATCCAGATGTGCTGTTTTGGGAAGAACTGCTGTGGCTATCTGGGCAGGAGGGAGGCAGCAGAACATTGCTCCATTCACCAGCACAGGAAGACTGGCAGGTTGAAATACCTGTTCTACCGGTTGAACACCATTCCTGCACTCTAAAGCAGCTTGAGCTAATAGTAGGGTACTTACACTCTTGACCATACAGAAAGGAGCTGTCTTACTGCACATTAGCAATATTAGCTGGCTGAACCAATTCCATTGAGGATTTGTGGATACAGCAAGCGGTTTATTGGTCACAGTGATGTCTTTACTGCCCCATCAAGTTACATCTGCTGTAGCCTTTGCTGTTGTAGAATTATTTATAAAAAGTAATTAAAGTTGCTCATGTAAACAGTTTGGAAATAGGTTTGACATAACGTGCTGAACCTAAAGTGTTTTGAATTGTGTTCTCTGTGTCTAATGTAAGGAAATAATTTTGCAAGCTTGCTTTGAAAGATTTTCACATTAATGTATTGTATTTTTAAACATGTAAGGCAAAAAATTTTGCAGTGCCACTTGACAAATCATACTTTGAAGAAATGTATAAATGTCTGCTTTGTTAAAGAGACAACTTCTTGGTTTTTGTTTCCAGGTGATCACTGGAGGTCATTATGACGTTGACTGTCGGTTGGAAGATCCTGATGGCATTGTACTGTACAAAGAGATGAAGAAACAATATGATAGCTTCACGTTTACTGCATCCAGAAATGGAACATACAAGTTCTGCTTCAGCAACGAATTCTCTACTTTCACACACAAAACTGTGTACTTCGATTTCCAGGTTGGAGAAGATCCACCACTATTTCCTAGTGAGAACAGAGTAACTGCACTTACCCAGGTAAAACTGTTAAGTTTGGCTGCAGCTGTTAGGTGGAGGCAATGGTTTGGGGTTTTCTCAAGTTCAGCTGCATTAGGTACCTGTATCACTTTTGAAAATCAGTGGATTGGAGCTTCTGAAGTAATCTGAATGATTACAAATAAGCTTTCTTTCTGAAGATAAGATTTATGGAACACACATGTGTTCCGTAAGAGCTGAGAAGGAAGCACCAAGTGCTTAAGAGAAAATTAGGGTAGAAACTTAAACTCTAGGGTACTTCCTTTTTGGTTTTAAGATCTTTTTTAAGGTAACTTCCATTTATTGCTATGGTTGTGTGCTTCTTGAAGTGTAGATTTCACAAATCTCAGTGCATCAGGGTTTTAAGAATTTCCAAACTTCAGAGAAAATTTGAGAGTTGTTTTTATATTTAAAATAGTAGAGTGTTTCAGGGGGGAACTTAAGCTGACCTTTCATGTAGCTGACGTTTTTAAAATTGAGATACAGCAAAATAAACAAAATCAGCCATATTTAGCTGGCTTGTATATATTTGTCCTTCGTAAGACACTATGTATGAAGCGAGTATCTCAGACTTGTTCAGACACCTGTCTTGAAAGTTGTCAACTTGAAAAGATGGTTAGGCATAGATATAGGTAACTGAAAGTGGTCCTATCAGGATGTTAAACATTTCCTTTTATAATAGTTTGTGATATTTGATCTTCAGGAAACACTAGTTTTTAGCCATAAGACAGAAAAAATAATTGTGACTAGAAATTAAGTATTTTGAAGATCTATCGATTAATCTCTTGGTGATCAAAACACAATGAGAAGTACTGACTTTCACTTACTGAAGATAAACTGAAAGTAGAAGTGTGTGTGAAAAATTATCTAGGGCTTGGAAAGCTGGTAGTACTTTCTATGAAAAATAACAAGTTGGGTAATTTTTTCAGTATTTGTGCATGATTATGTTATGAAGCATTTGGGAACACTGAAAGGTAACAGAATTGTCCTTCCTTTAACCACTTATGTGTACATGACTAAGGAGTGTCTCTTGCCAAAACAACATGTTGAGTTCAGTAACATAAATTTTAGGATGTGGTATAACTCAAGTGAGAATTAGAATTATGCAATGAAGAACAGCATACTTATGAAACGCAGGAGCATTTAATATATACTGTGTATCTTAATGTTAAAAGCAATTGCTAGCTTTTCTGGTACATGTGGAATTAACTGGGGGGATCACTGACATCTCAAAAGTGTTTCTTATGTTCATTTTGAGCCCAGATATACATGAATATAAGATTTGTTTAATTCTAAGAGCCTATTAGTCATTGCTTTTTATTAGGTCTACAGTTATGCACATTCTGTGTTTAAGTCTGTCACATGCCTGTGTATAGAGTTTGATCAATGCAAGTTAAATTTTACTGCATTTACAGTATTTCAGTCTGACAACAGAGTAAGTTAATCCCTATCTTGCAGAGTTACATGAATCCTAATTTTACAGAACAAACCACAAAACTTCACAGAAAGAGTACTAGAAGGGTCCTTAATTCCATGGTGTGTATTTGTTTGTTTCTCTAGATGGAGTCTGCGTGTGTTTCAATTCATGAAGCTTTGAAGTCTGTCATCGATTATCAGACCCACTTCCGCTTGAGGGAAGCACAGGGCCGCAGCAGAGCAGAGGATTTAAACACGAGGGTGGCCTACTGGTCAATAGGGGAAGCAATCATCCTTCTTGTCGTTAGTATCGGGCAGGTATTTCTCCTCAAAAGCTTCTTCTCAGATAAAAGAACCACAACAACCCGTGTTGGATCGTAACTGGTAGTGGTAATGCTTCAGGTCATTGTGTGCTACTTATCTCTTGAAATTAACAGTTCTCCAATTAATTGTAGGTACAAAGGATTTGAATATATGCAACATTGAAATGTGTCTACTCCTCATCTCTTAAAAATCACAAAACAGACCCAAAAAGATAATGAAAGGGACACATGATTTGAAATATTTTTTGCCACTTAAGTGTATTGTGATTCCTGTGTTAAATACATGTAAGTGACCACCCTCATGAGTTTGATTTTTACCAGTAAGATGAGCCATCTGGAGTATAACACCTTAAAATAACCCAACAGTCTAGTATCTGATCTGAGAGACAATATATATGAAAATTCTGTTTTATTTTAGTCTTCAGGCTGATTGTATTGGATTATACAAAAGCAAATGTGATGAACTGTAGCACACTGGTTTGATTTGCCGTTAGAAAAAATAATCCAGTGGTACCCCTTGCTTATTTGTAAAATTGTTGCAAGCTTAACACTACATTATGGTGCAAATTCTCCATCAGCCTGCTAACTCCATCTTCAAAACTTGCTAAATTGTATACTTGAGTATGTTTGCTTAAACAGGTGTTCTTCTATATTAGAACAAGTTCATTAAAATGTTTGTTTTACTGAATTATAAGCTGGGACTACTCAGGAAATCCACTTCCTGTATTCAAAAATCAGAATCTCCAAGTTTATTTAAAAACATGCAGTAAAATAGGGAATCTTGTACCTTTGTCACTGAAACTGTACAGTTTCTGTACTCAGACATGCTGCTGCTGCTTTTTGGATTTTAATACCCTAAGTAGCTTGGTTTGGTAAGCAGCACAGCACCAGCACTGGACAAGGCTATATTATGTGTTAGGCACATATAAAGCTTTTCACTAAATTGTTTTCTTATTAAAAGGCCAATTTGATATTGATACTGCATTGCACAAGTGCTGTAAATTTTACTTTCCTGTGTGTGGTGCACTGATACATGATGGCCTTGTGTATCTAGTTGGCACTCTTTTTTTATAGTGGTCAGGAAATGTTTTAAATTTTTCAGGTTATCTTTTTCGTAGTTATAGTTGCCTTGTTTCCACTGCTTATGTCTTTAGTAGCTTTATGTACTGTAAAGTCTTGTTTTATTTGGATGGGGAAGGTAGTAGGTGTATGTACATACGAGTAGCTTGAATTGAGCTGGTCATGACAAGGCTAAACTCCTTCAAACGGCTCTGGAGGATTGAGTAGACCAGCCAACTCTTAAGTGCACACAAACTAAACAAAGGTGAAAAAATTGGCATACATAACTGGCTAAATCAAAAGATGCTTCTTGAACGAGTTTTCAGCAACCCAAGAAAGGATGCTAAACCCTTACCAATTGCCTGTATTGTTTCTAGCAAAAATGTGGAATTACATGTACACTTGAGCAGTCTGAGAATTGACCTAAGATGACTTGAGTTTAAAATCTTGTGATGGCTGAAAAAAATAAACAAAAGGGCACCTACTCTCTATAGTGAACTGAATGACTGCTCTTTTGGAAGTAAATAAAAACTCAAACAGCTCAAAAATTACTTAAAAGGTCCTGGGGGTATTAAAAAGCTTAATGTATGTAAACCGCAGGATTATATGTAATGTCTTCCTATCCTGTACTGAATGCTAAATACTGCAGTCCCATTTTGGGATGCAAGCTTCCCAGAAATAGTTAGGCTTACAAAGATCAAAAAACTAAAAAATTAGTGCTTTCTTCTCATGATACAAATCTGTGCCTGCACGCACTATTCTTGATTGTACCTATATGCTTTATACATGTGTTTCAGCAGATGATATTCTGTACTTCTTGTGTTGCATTGCACACAATAATGAAGCAAGTGGTACATTTTGAGTGCAAGTGTTGGCTGAAAATATGATATAATTTTGATAGTGTCCACTGTTACCTTCTGGAGTTTGAATATCACTTGTGTAGCTTTAATCACAACAAAATCATTTGTTTTAAAGATTGAAACATGTTGGGTTTTTTTCTATTGAGTTATTCTGTGTTCTGTCAAAACTGGTAAACGGGGGTATAACAGATAACAGTTGGACATCACGTATTCATGTCTTTATTCTTTCATAATGTTTGAATGTGAGAAGTGGGACCGTTCAGCATAAAATTACTCCCACTGCAGAAGTTCAGTGGACTTGACTTTTGCATTGAAGTTAGGTATCCAAACCAATCCTCTGGTATCCTGCTGCAGAATATGCAGCAATAGCTTAAAAATGCCTTTATTTTTGTGTTATTAAAAACATGGCACAAATACACATTTAAACATAGCTGTATATAGTTTTTAAAATAAGTGACTGAATAGGATATAGTAAAACACATACTAACATGCAGTGGGTGAAGAAATGCATTGTGACTTTTGTTTAAAGCTGCACCTTTTTAATATATGAAAAGAATAGTTTGGTTAATGGTGTGATGCACAAGTAAGCAGCCTGCATTAAAGGGGATATAACTATTTCTTAATTGCTAAAGGCCCTGGGTTTCAGCTATTCCTTGGATGTTTTATGTTTACAGAACTTCTTTTCATGTCCTGTAATGTTATTTCTTTAGTTCAGAGGTTAAAAAAAAAAAAAAAAAAAAAATTTAGTTTGAGTAAGACAAAAAGCAGACCCTGTGAATACTGTATGGGAAAATAAAAATTAATATATGAATGTGGTCTGATTGGTTTGTTTGCATGTGGGAGTGGGGAGCATTATTCTTAAAAAAAAGCTTAAAGATTTGAGTAGTCAACTTGTATTTTAACACTTTACAATGAATCTACCACCTGGTACTTGATCATTACTTCTGTTGCTTCTGTTGTACATCACGAAGTGAACTGGTTCACTGCTGTTCGTAATTGGCTGTGCTTTCAGGTTACTGGGAGAACTCTACTTTCGGCAACATAGCATGGTTACTGGCCCTTTGCTTAGCACGTTAGCAGCTCAGGCAGTAATACTCAGAAATCTGTTCCTATTGGAGTGGAATTCAAAGTGTTTGACTACAGATGCCAGGACTGATTTGGGATCTACTGCATGTTTTAATGTTAATTCTGGGGATACAAAGTTAATATGGGGTGCACTGGAAAGGTGCATCCAATTTGTGCTGCCTAATAATGAGATATAACCTTGAAATGTAATCTAGTTGTAGTAACTAAATGTGTGATTGGAGATATTTTGTATCGTGTAGCTTCTTGCTGCATCTTAGCACATACCACTGAAGATTTTAAAAACAGAGTGGACATCATTGCTTTCTGTGGGCACCTTCCAAACTGCATTTTCTGCATGTTTGTTTCCCCTGTGTCTGTTGGTGTACATTCAGAAATTTTCAAGAATATTTAATGTACTTAGATTAAAAAAAGCTTTTGTCTAGAAGCATGGGTAAGTTCTCCTCTTTCAGTGTTGTGTTAACTGTTATGGTCAAGTAGTTGTCTGGGGGCTTTTTAAGTGCTTGGCACCCAGAATTTGTAAGTAGCTTAAGATGAGTTGTGGTCTAAAGCACTTCTCCACTGAAAGCTCATAATTTTATAAAAAAAGAAAATTAGACAATTACTGAAATACATTTTTGAAGCGTGGCCCTGCAATTCAGTGGCAAGTTTCTCAGGGATTCCCACTGACCAACTCCTTGAACAGCTGGAATTTTGCTTCCCTAAAATTCAGGATCCTGATTGTACTCTCCGCCTGTCCCTCAGCACTGCAAACTGCCAGTGTGTGATCACTGCAGCCCTGGCTGCTTCCAATCTTGCGACTCTGAGCAGCTCACTTGCATTGGTGAGCATCAGATCCAGTATCGCATCCCCTTGGTAGGGCTGTCTATTACCTGGCTTAAGAACTTATCCTTAGTGCACTCCAGCAGTTTCCTGGTTTGTCTACAGCTTACCGTGCTACTTGTCCAGCAGATGTTGGGGTGGCTGAAGTCCCCCAGCAGGATGAGAGTGGTGACAATGCCTCCTGCAGCTGCAGTAATCAATACGCTCCCCTTGTCTGGGAGGCCTGTGGTAAACACCAACCCTTTGTTGCCTCGGTTGCTAATTCTTACTCAGAAGCTTTCAACCTGCCTGTGGCTATTCTTCAGAGACAGCTCTTCACAATCTATTAATCATCCGGGCTTGGTCACCCAGATGGTAGTATCAGATGGAAAAGGAAACAGGTGCATCTGAACAGGTTTTTCATTTCCACATCGCAAATATTACGTCTTTTGACATCATTTTGAAGCAAGAAAGGTTATTTTTCTTCCATGTTGCAGACAAGGCAGTGTTCCAGGGAAGCACAAATCCTTCTGTCTCAATTTCCTCTGAGCTTGTGGAAGGAATTTCCATGAAAAGAACAGCCACGTCTGGTTTTGTAAGGAGTCCCTGCTAACTCCCTTGTTTCACTAAATGCAGTGACAAGAACTGAGAGATTCACTAATTCAAAGCAAAGGGCTCATTTACAGCATTTCACAGGGTTGGTTTTACTGATTCCTCTGTAATCAGGTTCATAAATAGAGTTGTTTAAATGAGGCAACGATGTATTAAGCATTTCTATTAACAGTTTTACGGATACTTACAATAACACTGGCTTTCCACCCAACTTCAGCTCTTCTTCCTGTAGTCCTTAGTGGGGACCCATGGGGACAGGTTTTAGCAGCCTCGAATTCGAACTTGATAATAAGGAAGAAATTCAGGTGCTTCACAGCTTTGCAGTTCAAATTACTCCTGCTTCTGGTTACTTTCAAATTTAGCTCCTTTATCCCACTCAGTTAACATGAGCTCTTACAAAGCCATCTCCTTGTAATAACAAGAATTTAATGCACTTTCACATCACCTTTCATCCATCAATCTGCATTATGAAGGTCACTGTATTTACATCTCCTTTAGTGATGAGGAAAGTGAAGCAAGGAAAAATTAATTATTTACTCTCAGAAAAGCAGCAATAGCTCAGTGAGAAAGAGGACTGATCCAGTGCACTGCTTCTCATTGTACTCAAGATTCCCAAGGAAATGAGGAATTAAGTTAAAGACTTTGTAGGCAAAGATTACACAAGTTCAAAAGGCAAATGAACAACTACATGGAGAAAAAGTTCTACCAGCCTTGTATTCTTTCAATACAAAGAAGTTTTGGGGTTTTTTTGCTTAGGAAAGCTCTCAGCCACAGAGGACTTGGAGG